GCAGTGTACTTCCGTTGCGCAGCAAGATAGGCCTTCGCCATCTTCTCGGCGGGGGTTAAAGCAGCCGAAGGCAGTTGCTGTGGCACGGGCTCTGGCTCTGGTGGTGGCGGAGACTTAGGGGGAGGCGGCGCGAACGGGAGATAAGTCTGGTTGAAGCGACGCTTCTTTTCTGAGGCGGACGCAGGAGTTGAGGCAGGAGTTGATGCCGTTGATGTGGACGCTGGGGTTGATGCAGTGACAACAGGTACAACTGAAGGTTCGGCGACAGGACCAGCGTCAACCATAGCCTCCAAATTCCTGTCCCATTCCTCACTACTGAGAGAAGGCAGAGGCTGTGGCTCAACTGGAGCGGTAGCAACTCGACGGAGAAAGTCGAGCCCGCTAAGAGGGAGCGATCTAGGAGTTCGCAGATGGACAGACTCGTCGCCACCGCCATCGTCGGGCTCACTCCTGCCAGCCATGACGGCAGTGGCACGAGTGACGACGGGCGGCAGCGACGGCGAAGGTAAGCGGAGGTTTTCTTCTGCTAGGACGTTGTGAGAGATAGCTTTGGTGAAGGGGAGGAAGGGAAGGTTGAACAAGACGAGAGTTTCGTCTGCTCTTCTTGGGGGTGTGTGAATTGTGGGGTGCCTCGGAGTGGGTGAGGGAGTGACGTCGGTCGTGCATGCATGGATGGTGGCTAAGGTCGGCGTGCGGTGGTGAGGGAACTGCTGCCAGCCTTGCAGTGATGCTGCAGTCGTGACCAACCAGCGCGAAGGATGCTGCCAGCAGTGGCAAGGATGGCAGCATATGACGTGCCACTGCCTGGCGGTACGCGTAAAATGACGCGTATTGCGGGATATTGGGGCAAGGCCAGGTACAGGGTACAGGGGAAATCTATAGGTATACCCCCTGTACACTAACCCTCAGAGGGGTACAAATGGTTACTCTGATATAATCAGAGTAAAAAAAAACATCAATTTTTTTACTCAAGGCACTTAGAGTAGTTTTCAAAAACGACTCTGATTTTCAGAGAAACAGAGTAAATTACTCTGATAAAATAGGCCCTGCATAACAATGATTTATAGTTTTAGGAAAGTACCTGTTCGCGAATGTACTTGTTCGTCACTATTGCGCTATGCGCCCTAAACGACAACGAAGAGGTGCGACTGTTCACGTGACTGAAACGAATGTCCTCATGACGAGCGCTATTTGCTGACGTCATCATCAGGCCTCAGGATATCAGGGTAAAATACCCTTACGGCCCTTACTATAAGGCTGGGGTTGGTGTTGGACCCTTATTTTTAAAAGTGCTTTAGTTTTGGACCCTTATGAAAAAAACTACGTTTGTACGGGACCCTGATTTTCAAAAGTGGTGTATCGTTCGCACCCTTATGCGAAAAAGTGCCTTTACAAAATACCCTGATGTGATTCTACATGTAGCCCCCCCGTTTGGGGGCAAGAATATTCCCCCGAGTCATGCCGCAATCAGCGCCATTATTGCTCTATGCTGGCGCGCGTCGACGAGACTGCTCCAGCGAGTCAAAGTGTGTGGCCTTCTAGGAAAAGACAAACCAATCAGCGTCAGGGGTCGGAGCGCGCATGGACAGCGCGGCAGCAATGGTCCTGCGGTGACCTGTTCTGCAGGCAAATGACATGATTGGTGGAAAGAAGGGGGCACAACTGTCGATCCCCTTCTCCTCTGTTCGGGGCACCAGTTCTTCTTCATTTGTCTCTTCCAAGCTATTCTTGAGAGCACCGAGATACAATCTGCTCTGTGTTTGTATCTCTCACCCGCTTCCTTACCATATTCCTCTCACCTCGACGATAGCCATGGACCCCGACGACGGCGATGAGGAGGAGGATGGTGGGCGGAAACGCCCGCTATCCCCTCCGCGATCAGCCCTTAGTTTCCTCCGTCGCGCACCAATCACAGTCGCTCAGCCGTTCCCACCTCCAACCTCCCCTTGCGTTGGGTCGCCTCCTGTGACCGAACCCATAGCGGATGTCCCTGAGCGTACACCCCCATCTCCCGCTGCTCTACCGGTTTCTGCCTCTGGGGGTTCTCCTGCCCCATCCCCAACTGCTGTGGGCTTGACGTCGTCTTCCGCGAAGCGGAAAGCGAGCAGCCTGCCGCAGAAGTGGCGGCAGCAACATCTACCCTTCGCTCGGTCAACGGACAAAACGCCTGTTGAGGAACCCGACGACGTCGCCGGTGACGATGATGACGAGGATCACGAACCCACCGACGAAGAGGCTTCCAAAGATCCACATGCTGCTTTTGCAAAAGCGCACCGACGTTTTAAGTCTTCTTGGGAGAGTTTGTTCCCTTGGCTTGTCCTCGACCGTGCTGACGATGGTTTCCCTGTATTGCGCTGCAGCACTTGCCTCGAGCACGGAGTTTCAGGTGCGGACACCAAGTACGGCAAGGACGGTTGCGGCGGGCGTGACATGCAGAAGAACAGCATCCAGACTCACCAGCGGTCCAACGCCCACCGCGACGCCTACCGTCTAATGAAGGCTAAGCAGTCGAGGATGTTGCGGCAAACACTCCTAAACGAGTACGAGGGCCTCGACAAAAGCACGCTACATCTCATCACCGCCATGAAGACGGCGGTGTACACGTGCCAATCGGAGGCGCCGATAACATCCTACGTCGGCTTCATCAAGTTCATGGCTTCAGTGCAGACGCCCAACCTCCCTCTGGATCAGAAGGGCGCCTACTTTTCAGAGTGAGAAACTACGAATTCGAATCTTAGTGCATTGTTTTCAAGTACCGAGTGACCATATTATTGGTCCATGAGTTGCAACATCTATGACTACTCTCTTGTTTCATCGTGTGTATGCTTGGCAGATACGGATTCAACGAGTTGGTCGAGGCCGCATCAAAGTACCTACGAGAAGAGCAGCTAAAGAACATCGCAAGCAGCCCCTATCTCGGCATCGCTATTGACGAGAGCACGGACCGTGTCAGAGGGAAGCATCTAATAGTATATGTGACTTATATCAAGGATGGCTATGTGCGTACCGAGTTCCTGACGCTCCTCACCGTGCAAAAATGTGATGCAGCAAGCCTCACTGAAGTTCTGGAGACTTACATGCGATCGGTCGGAATCGACATGGAGAAGATCGTCGGGATAAGTACGGACGGCGCGTCTGTCATGGTAGGCGAGCACAAGGGCGTCGTCGCACGGTTGCGTGTTAAGATTCGGCACCTAGTGTCATGCCACTGCATCGCCCATCGGTGAGTTGACTCCGGTGTTTGGTGTTTGACAGGTTGTCTTTCGGTTGTTGGTTCCCAAATCGCATGCGATGTCACGTTCTACTGTCACACACCTGGTGTGTGTCTATGTGTTCCCTCCCCCCTCCCTACCAGTGAGTCTCTGGCAGCCAAAGACGCGGCAGCAAAGGTTAGAGACTTCTCCGTCATCGACCAGGTCATCAGAACCGTCTCTGAACTGCTGTCAAGGAGCGGGATCTGGCACAGGCGCTTCAAGAAGCTGCAGGAAGAGCTGTGTGACACGAATCTGGAGCTCCAGGGAATATATGACGTCCGCTGGCTTTCACGGGGGAGCGCGGTGAAGCGGTTCGCGCAGCTGTTGCCGGCTGTAGTCGTGCTTCTGCACGAGTATCAGCACGAGCTATACGGACTTGTGAAGAGTTTCAAGTTTCACTTCCTTGTGTACTTCCTGGCAGATTTGCTCGAGGTCCTCAACGACCTCAACGCGAAGTTTCAGAAGAAGCAGGTGAGGTTTCTGACGGCAGTGACGTTGTGTTTGTTTAACTGCAGGCCCTAATTTTTGTTATTTCTCTGCTTTATGCACGACCTCAGGTGGACATTACACTGGTCGCTGGCGAGGTCAACCTGGTGTGCAGAAAGATTGACGTTCGCTACATCGACTGCGAAAACGCTTTCGGCAGGCGGTCGCCGTGCTGCCCCTCAGCACGGTTGAGTGCGAGAGGGGCTTCAGCCGCCAGAATCGCATCAAGTCGTGGACGCGCAGCTGCTTGGGCGATGGGAAGCTCGAGGACCTTATGACAGTGGCCCTCGTGCAGTGCGACATGGAGTGGCTGAAGATGGTTGACATTTTCCGAACAATCAAGGACCGCCGCCCTGCTACCCAGTTTGACATGGCCGCCGACTAAAAGCACCGGCAGCAGAGGGTCTCCTCTCCAGCAGCAGCAACAGCAATTGCAGCAGTAGCAGCAGTAGTAGTGGCATCACCAGCATCAGCATCACCAGCAGTAGTAGCAGTAGCCGCAGTAGTAGTATTTGGTATGGTGCAGGATTAGTGCGCTATGCTTTGCAATGTCAACATCTATAATACTAAGCAAATTTATCCAGTTACGAATGAGTATGGCGTTTGTACACCCTGATGTGGAAAAGCAGTTTTTTTTAGCACCCTTATAAAACAAAGTCGAAAAAAAAAACACCCTTACAGAAAAAGTGGTCGAGGATTCATACCCTTACATGAAAAACTACTCCAAATCCTATCCAGAGGCCTGGTCATCATACGGACTTTTCCTCTATAGTAGGATTTGACACTATCTACAGATAATCGACTTACAGAAATGCGAAGTATGAATTATATCACAACAAAAATAACATGCTTTATGTTCTGAGTTCAGCTACCAAGTAGAACTTGGCCTAAGGACATGCAAAGTATAGGCGATCCCCCTTTTACTAATCATTATAGTTGTTATTTGGGGAACCATGTTCCCTTTTTGGGCACTCCACTTTGTATGGGGCTTACACTTGGTTGAATGCGTACGAGTTTTTCCAAGTTTTTATGTGCAGCGGATTGATATTGCACGCAAGCCTTATGTGGCTAGGGTTAGCTTGGAAGCCCCAAGGCATGTCCCTCCAGCCTCAGAGCTCACAAGATGGACGGATGAAACTCACTGCCTGCGTGGCATGTCCCGAATGGCTGCTCCTTCACTTTCATTTCCCACTTCTTGTCACGTTCATGCTCAAACTGCTCTGTCCTTTCCCTCGCCAGACTCTCGCCGCCGCCACTCATCTCAACCATCCTCAGCGCAAACCCTCCCCCTCATCCACTTCCTCACATCCACGCACAGGAACTTCTTTCGTAGTAGGTCGATCAGCGAGTCCCAGTGTTGTGTCGGGGCCAACGGCCCGCTGCTGCCTGTCTTGTTCGCCAACATGACTGTTGATCTCGAGTTTCGGTTGCAAGCCAGAACCATTCTGATCACGCCAGGCCAGGCCCTGTGCGATGGTGGTGGCTCGGTCGGCATGTTCAGCGCAGGCGGGTCTGGATCACCTCCCATGCACGGGGGCGACAGCGACCCGTCGCTGCAATCCGTCACGCCGTCGTCATCCGCGTCGGAGCTGTGCGGCTCGTCTGACGACGTGGACGAGCAGAGTTCGTCGGCGGCAGTGGCGCACGCCGTGGCGCAGCTGCTGGAGGCCCTTGGGGAAGATCCCTGCCGCCATGGCCTCGTCAAGACGCCTCAACGCGTCGCTCGAGCTATGGAGTCCGCCACTCAAGGTACTTTTTGATGCGTACGCGGAATGGGTGGCCATCGCTAGTCGATCGTTCCCCGTCAGCAAGTGCTGGATCAGAACGTTCGTGCCGTCGCTACCTTATTCTGCGTGCACCACGGCTACCTGCAGCCGCAGTCTACTCGCGTAGTCACTGAAATACTGCATTGTTTCCCGCTACTGCCTCAGCCTCGTTCTCTCACCCGCTGATCATCTTTCCGCTCCTCTTCGCCTTTCTCCCTGTTAATCGGATTGCTTCGGTGCCTCGCTCCTCTTTTGTCTTCGTAACACACGCTGGTCTCCCCTATCCCTCCCACCTCCTCCCGTCATTAGTAGCCTGTCTGCCCCCTAGGCTTGCCCCGAGGTGGACCTCGTAATCTGCTCCTCGCGTCTCCCCGTCATTCCACCGTCACGTCTTCCATAAGCCACTTAGCGTTCTGTAGCTTCAGCATCATCATGTCCCTCTTCTCAAATATTGCGCCCCGCCACTCCCCGCACAGGCTACAACCACGACGCGGTGCGCATAATCCTCTCAGCCATATTCTCCGAAGGCCCGGCAGTCGGCGATTCCGCGCGAGGGGGCGGTGCAGGGGGGCTGGTTCTGGTGCGGGGCATTGACACGTTTGCGTTGTGCCGGGGTTGTTTGCTTCCGTTGCGCCTGCGCTGCCACATGGCGTACGTGCCGCACAGCCATCGGGTGGTGGGCCTCAGCAAGCTGCCCCGCGCGGCTGTGGCTCTCTCGCGTCGCCGCGTGTGCGCGCAGTCGTTGGCGCGCCTGCTGTGCCGCACAGTGGACGAGGCGCTGGCGCCGCTGGGCGTGGCAGTGGTGGTGGAGGCGGCACACCTTGTCGGCCTGGAGGAGAGCGTCACTGCCGCCGCTGCCCGCCCGGCCGCCTTGGACTCGCTCACCGGTGTGGGCTCTAGCAAGATACGCTCGGCTGGATGGGCGCAGGAAGGCGAGGGTGGGCACGATATGGCCTGTGGTGCGATGGGAGTGTTTTCGAAGCAGAGCGAGCTGGTGGACGAGGTGCTGGCGCTGCTCCACGTGGATCCAGACGCCGTCTCCGTTGCGCATCTACAACACGGTGACGCTGAAGGGGGGGGGGTCAACGCCACTGCCGCAGACGACATCGTAGGCACCAGCGAATCCGGCGTGACGGAGTTGCCCGAGGACGCTGTTTGCCCTGTGCTAAGGCCACGCGCTTCAGGGAGGGCAGTGCAAGGCGGAGCAGCAGGGCGCAGCGGTTGCGGTGACTGTGACATGCGCGCATGGCTGTGTCGCTGTTCATCAGGGCCCGCTCTCAGCGCTGCCGGCGGCTCTGCCCTGCAGGAGGCCATCCCAGACGCGCGTGCCGCAGATGGGCTCCTTGCTTCGTGGCGCCTGCTGTGCCGCTGGCTGGGTACGAAGGAAGAGCGGGGCCAGCAGCGGTGTGGGGGGAAAGTTCCATTGTCGGAAGCAAGGCAGGCGGGCGTTGAGGGAGGCACACGTGAGCAGGTTCCAGCACAGGCACATGTGGATCAACAGAAGCCCAGGGGCACAGCAGACGCGGACACGGAGAGGGAGGCTGATGAAACGACAGGACCATGGTCAGGCCTGTCCGTGTGTGTGGCTCGTTACCTCTGCTATCTATCGGCCGCTACACGTGGCACGCACGTCCACCTGCACCAGGTTGTTGCGCTCCCCCAGTCTTCACAACGCTGCTTGCACAGTCCAAAGGAAGCACATGGCGCTGCTTGCGCCGTACTAGCAAACGAAGACAAAACCCTAGCCACACAAGACGTGGCAAACGCGGAGAGGAAGGGATTCCCAGCCACTCAGCCTGTGGCGGCTGCATGTGGCGGCAGAGGAGCAGGGGAAGGACTGTTGGTGGAAGCCGTGGTACGCGGAGAGGAGAGCTATGGTGGAGTCGATGGAGTGTCTGTGGCTGCTGGGTCTGCCATAGCACTCGTGGCAGTTGGGGACGCGCACACTGCTCGCAGGCGCACGGACATGGCGATGGAGGTGCACTTGGCTGTGCCCTTCTCATCGCTCTGTGAACACCACCTGCTGCCTTTCTTTGGTGCTGTCCATGTGGCACTTAGCTGTCCACAAGTCCGCTCAACTGCCCTCTCATCCCCCCCCAGTTCTTCGGCTGGTGATCCAGTGCCCCCCCTGCTGTCAGCGGAGGCACTGGCTGCCATCTGCTGGCTGTATGGCCGCCGCCTGCAGGTGCAGGAGCGCTTCACCCGGCAGGTGGCAGAGGCAGTCCTGGAGGCATGTGGTGGACAGGCTGAGGGGGTGATGGTGGTGGTGGAGGCGCACCACATGTGCATGATCGTCAGGGGGGTGGAGAAAGCCACCACCACCACATCTACTGTCGCTACGTTTGGCGCCTTCTCCTTGTTTCCACGCATGAGAGCCAGGTTCCTTAGTATGCTGCCAAGGGCGAGCTCTTGTTGTGTAAACAGCTGAAGGCGCATGAACGGACTCTGCACACACCTTGACTCCCCTCGTGCAAAACACTGCCCATACCCTGCCTTTCAACACCCCAGCAGCTATACCGTATTCCCCCGGATATACGCGCAGGGGTGCGTTTAGGGATTATAGTCAAATTTTGGGGGGTGCGTTTATTCGAATTTTTTCAATATGGCCCAGTGCGTTTAAAATGGTTTTTTGAGAAGAAAAAAAACGGCATCGAAATGTGCATCTAACACCCGCCAACGTTTATTCAGATATTTGCAGCAGCGAATACAACAGAGATTCGCATGAATCTGGTCCGGAAACATCGAACCAGCCAGGCTTGTGTGGATGCAGCCAAACGGACCAACCACGAGCACAGCGGCGCGGACGCTGTCACATCTCATGTGTTGGTGATGCGGCGTTGGAGTTTTTGTGCGAATATGCTGTTTGGCGGTCCAATCGCAGCCACATGCTCGGCGGGCAGCATCCGCAAGGCGAGCTAGAAGTTCGAGAAGAATCTGCTGGTAGCTTCGTCATGCCACGACGGTGCCCTCTCAGCTCGGAAAGGAAGAGGAATCCTCTTCGTGCACCGTCATGGGCTGCACGATGAGGAATTCCCCGCTGAGGAATTGAGGAACACCCTGGTTGAAGCTTCATTATTTCAGTAGCTTTTCGAATGAGCGTCCTCATGCGTCCTCTCTCGCCAGGCCGCCGCCATGGCTGGCCTTCCACCCACAGCTATGTCTGTACTGTTCGGCAGCCCTGGTACACCAACACGCCTCTCTAGACAGGACATAGCTGCTGCCCGAGTTAGTAGATTTAGTGGTTTCCGTGCTGCACCCCCTGCTCCTCCCGCGCCGCCCGCTCCTCCCGCTCCTCCCGCTCCTCCCGCTCCCCCCGCTCCCCCGGCTCCTCCTGCACCGCCGGCACCTCCGGCCCCTCCAGCGCCCTCCGTTCCTGGAAGCTCGCGACCATGGTCTTTGCGGTTGCCCTTGACGGAGGTCGACGGAGTTCCTGTTCTGACGTTACTTCTACCCGGCAACCCGTTCCCGCCCCAGCCCGACCGATGCGACGTGGAGAGCATCTCGGACGAGGAGGAGGCTCTCGAATCCCCGCGCGCTCGCGACTGGGGGATTCCCAACGGTGACAACTGGCCGGAGCACGACCAGTGGAAGGAAACGGATGAGGAGGAGGCGGAGTACTGGCACCGTGATGGGCTGCCCGAGAAGCTGCCCATCCCAACATTCCCCGAAGGTCGGAGCCGCCCTCATCCAACGACAACAAATTTCGACAGCCGCCCTCCCTCCCCCAGATCTCGGATGACACAGCGCAAGCGAAGGGCGTACACTTCTCAGGAAAAGCTGTATTGGCTGGAGCGATGGCGTGCGCTCGATAGGAACCGACGAGCTGTGCAGCGCGAGTCGGGCATTTCGCGCCGTCGAATTCGAGAGTGGGAGCTCGCGGAGGACAAGCTGAAGGAAGCTGCTTCGTGCCGCAAGCGATTGCATGGCCATGGGCGCCGCAGCTGGTACCACGACATGGAGCTTGTCGTGTATGAGAAGTTCCTAAAAGACCGCGCGAAAGGGACGCCTGTACCCGTGAAGAAGCTGCAGAAGTGGTCGAGGGAGCTGATGAAGACCATGCACCCCGACGTGAAGTGGATGGCTTCACAGCGGTGGAGTGTTCGCTTCAGAAAACGATGGGGCCTCTCTGTTCGGGCCCGCACGAAGGTCGGCCAGAAAATGACCGAAGGTACAGTACATGCTTCCTCAAATGTTAATTGTGGAACTGTTGAAACTTGTTTCTCTGCTAATTTCATCATACTTTTCTTGCACGTGAACGCAGAGTGCAAGGAACAAGTGGAGTCCTTCTGGCAGTTCTGTCGTGATGCGAGGAGGGGCTACTCGATTGACGACCGCTGGATCATCAACGCAGACCAGACGCCTGTCTGGTTGGAGATGCCAGCAGAGCGGACCGTGGAGCAAGTCGGGGTGAACTCGGTGCCGATCAAGACCGCGGGCTATCACAAGGAGCGCGTTACAGTGATGCTCGCTTGCACGGCCACAGGCGAGAAGCTCAAGCCGTGGGTCTTTTTCAAGCGGGCGACCGTACCCAAGGGAAATTTCCCTCCCGGTAAGCCTTATTCGTGCACTTTGAGTTGTCTGTGTATGCCTCTCCTTGATTTTAAAGATTTTACTAACGGATTCTATTTTGTCAATGTAGATGTCGTGGTAGCCGCCCAACCAAATGGATGGATGGACTCCGCTGGTGTCATAGAGTGGCTTGAGAAGGCGGTCAAGCCGTTCATCAAGCCCAACTTCGGCCTCCGTGCCCGCTCTGCTCTCCTCATCCTGGATTCATACCGCGGTCATCTCACCCCTGAAGTGAAGGACTTCTACGGCAAGCTCCACGTGGTGCCCGGCATCATCCCTGCCGGCTGCACCTCCGTCATACAACCGCTCGACGTGGCCGTGAACCGCAGTTTCAAGGCACTGTTTCGCGCGTACTACCAGGAGTGGTTCGACCGCGTCGGCTGCACCATCTTCACCCCCAAAGGTTAGGTTGTTCACCCTTGCTGTGCGGATTATGCTCCATCTTCACACCAATATCTAATGGTGTGTTCTTTGTTTGCTTCAGGAAACCTGAAGAAGCCGCCACCAGAGGAGACCCTGAAATGGGTCTCCAAGGCGTGGAAGGCTGTCCCTGCCGCCCTTATCCAGAAGGCATTCAAAACTTGCGGAATCTCGAATGCCCTGGATGGCTCCGAAGACTACTTGTGCCTGAGGCACATGAGAGACCCCACCGTGGATGTCAACGATGAGACCGGGGCCGACGGATTCACGGGGGACAACTCGACCACAGCTGAGGAGGAGGAGGAGGATGATGAGGAGGACGAGGAGGACGAGGAGGACGAGGAGGACGACGACGACGAGGAGGGTTGAGATGGAGTGCACATGGACGATGCGACGACTGTAGGACATGGTAGACGACCCTAAACTTATAGAAATTGGAGGCTGTGAATCTGTTTAGGTAGTCGAGGTGTGGGCTGTAGAGCATGGTAGATGATGTAACTGTAGAAGTTAACTAATATAGATCTGACTTCTTATATCTAATTACAATGTTAAGTTGTCTTTAATGAACTATGTTCATGAAATTTAAGCTATTTTGGGGGGGTGCTTATAGGGATTAGACACCTGTGATTATACGGGTGCGTATAGATGGCACCTCCGATATGGCACCCCTCCGGATATACGCACCAGGGTGCGTATTAGCCGGCGGTGCGTATATCCGGGGGAATACGGTACATGCCTTGTGGGATTCTTTCATGTTTGGCTGATGAGGTGAGCAGGGCTGACGTTTAAAAAAAAACCACCCTGAGCTATCGACTAGAAAATAACAAATACCCTGAGAGCTCTGTTTTGGAAAAATCCCTACCCTGATCTGTCAGTGTTCAGAAACCCGAAACCCTGAAATTCCCAGGGTTCACAAAACACAATCAGGGTCGAATACAAGACGGGTCGAGAATTTCCTGGAATTCGAATTCCCGCCAAACACTTCCAATCCCCTTTTGTTATGGCCTCAACTTTTGCCCCCGCCCAAACTCGTCGCCCAAACTCGCCGCTTGTTCTACAGGCTTGGTAGTTATGCTACAAACTGCATCCTACTGTAGAGGGGACAACCCCTTTCTTGTACCTCATTCGCTTCTAGTCGACCACCTTCTCTCTCGATATCTTCCCTACCTAAACCCCGCTCGCCATTCCATGGCGCTATCAGAATGAGTAAGTGACTAGAATAGGAGACAAAGGTATATAGACTAGGGTGTTGTACCCAGGGCCTACTTTTGGATTTTTACTACTCTGAAATTAGGGAGTGGCTTTTTTCATCACTCTGAAAATCAGAGTGCTCCCCAATGGTTTCTCTGATTTTCCAGGGTTTTTTATATTTCTCAAAAATTTACACTGACAATGCAGAGGGGTTTTTGAAGTAACTCTCCGCAGCAGGGTTCTCTAGGTGTGCGGGGCAAGATTGGGAGATGGGGGGTGGAACAAAGGGGAAGTATCGAGAGATTGTATGGGCAGGGGGAATCGAGATTGCAGGGGCAGGGGGAATCGAGCTGGCAGGAGAGGTCGACACAGCAGGGGCGGGGACGGGAAATCTTGCACTCCCCCTGCAAGCACACGTTGGCCCCAAATACGGTGAAGGGCCCAACCAACACGACCTCACACAGCCAACAGCGCATCTCGCCTGACCCCTAGGAAGGGCCAATCAGCGCCCTCATGCACCTTCCAGCACAATTGGCGAGGTGATTTTGGTCAAGGGAAACTTACCGTAGCACCCTCACACAACCTCGAGCACGGACCAGACAATGATTTCGCCGGTGCGTGTGACATGACGCGTTCTGCGGGACACATGGGCACAGCTAGGTATAGGGGACAGGAACATAATCACATATATACGGTACCCCCTATACACGGACCATCAGAGTGGTACAAAGGTTTACTCGGATAAAATCAGAGTAAAACAAATAATTTATTTTTTTACTCAGGGCCCCTAGAGTAGTTTTCAAAAACGACTCTGATTTTCAGAGAAACAGAGTAAATTACTCTGATAAAATAGGCCCTGGTTGTACCCTCTTAAAGCACAAGCCAGTATAGTCTACAGTAACACCTAAGTTACATTTGACACACCCCCTAGACTATATAGCGGCAGTGCCTGACAAGCGAATAAGCGGCTCAGGGCGGCACTACTAGTCCAGCCTCTGAGGCAAGGGTCTAAAGACCAGTCAAAAGGAGTACAGACAAGCCAAGAGCAAGACTAGGGCGGCACTACTAGTCCAGCCACTGTGAGAGGCCACAAGGCCAGTCTGGGTAATATATAGAAAGGTCTGTACACAATAAAGGCCATAGCAAATGAGAGGCTACAGGAACAAGACCAAGCTGTACACAGTGCCGCTGATGATCTTTAGGCGCAAGCGCCTTCGTAAAGATATCAGCTGTGTTGGCACCGGAGGCTAAGTGTACTATGCGAGCCTGGCGGCACTGCTGTAGCTCATGCAGGAGGAAGTACTGCAGCTCAATGTGCTTCGCTCTGCCCTCGAGTCGTGGCTCCTGACACTTGAGGATCATGGCCCTGTTGTCAGCGTACAGGACCGGGGCAGAGCTAGGCCGCTCACCTAAGTCAGTGAGCAAGAAGGTCAACTAGCGGAG